ACACACACACACACACACACACACACACACACACACACACGCGCGCGCGCGCGCGCGCGAATGGGTGATTAGTTAAGACAAGTGGTTGGCAGTGAGAGATTCAACAGGTACTTAACAACCTGGTAGAGCTAATTACCCCTTGGACTACCTGGGTAAATGATACTGCCAGATAATGATGATAACTAAACAACATTACCCACGTCCTTAATAAGAATAACAGAGACATCAACACTACAACAAACTTTAACTAATAAATAACAATAACACATAAAAATAAAAGCAATCTTAATCTATATATTTCAACAATCTTAACTATGACAATGTATTCCAATAATTTACGCTATAATTAGTTAACATATCAATTTACCATTACAGAAGTGTTGCCACGGGCGAGGAGTTTGAACTTGTAGACGAGCTCAGTGGATCGTGTGAGGGGGCGGTGCGTGGTGAGAGTTCCAAGTTTCCACAACAATGCAAATATCCGCGAGAGTTGATGAGCTGAGGAACATAAACAAGAGAGGTATTCATTTTATCTGTCTGTCTCTCATGTTGATGTGGTGTTACTAAGGCAGGTCTTTGTGGGATAGTTTTGTCTAATTTTGTTCGTTTAATTGTTCGTTCGTCTTGTCCTGGACTCACAAATCTATGTGGTTTTAGGAAACAATATGTGAATTTAGGACACAATATTTTACTTTTAACCTCTTCACCACTGATCGGCTCGTTAGCCGCTTAGGCGGTTGGTCACGTCTCTGTTACGCACTGTTGGCAAGTACTGGGCATGTACTGGTTCCTTAATGTATCTGAACCTGCTCCAGCGTTGGTCAAGTCTGGTCTTGAAAGAGCTCACACTCGGTGCCGTCACAACACTCTCTGGCAGGTCGTTTCCAAAGTTCACACTTCTCACTCAGAAAAAGTTTGCCCTCAGAGTTTTCTGGACTTGTGGCTTATTCAACCTTCAGCTATGACCCCTTGTAAGGCGAGCGTTTGCCAGCTCCAGGTATGGACACTCGACAGTAGCGCCCTTTGAGATATTTATACACCTCAATTCGGTCGCCCCTCGCCCATCTACAGTATAGTATAAGCTAGGCAGTTGCAGGCACTCTAATCTCTCTGGGTAATTGAGGTGCCGAAGTGCAGGCACCAGTCAGGTGGCCCTCCTTTGGACATTTTCGATCAATTGACAGTTTTTAGCATAATTCAGGGACCAGACGGGGTGGCAATACTCCAGGCGGAGAAGCACTTCACTCTTGAAGATCGTAACGAAGGATGGACCGTCGAGATATCTGGACGACCTTCTTATAAGACCTACTAGTTTTGGTGCTTGATTCACCTTCTTCTCACAATGGCCCGAAAACTTCAGTTCCTTGTCAACATACACACCCAGGTCCTTTTCACATTCAGTCTATTAATGCAGTTTCTTCTTCCCGTTGGGACATATGATACGCCTCCTTACCATTGGTACGACCCAGATGCATCCTCTTAAACTTCGTGCCATTGAATTTTAGCAGCCATTTCTTCCGACCATTCTTGAAGCTCACAGAGATCTTTTTGCAGCTTTTCACAGTCTGCTTGGTTCTTAATTTTCCTGAATAACTTGGCATCGTCCGCAAACATTTGTATGGAGGAGTGTACAGCGTCAGGCATGCCATTTATGAAGCAAAAAAACAAGGACTGGCCCAATACACTGCCCTGTGGTACCCCGCTTGTCACGGGTACACATGACGATTTCCTGCCATTAATCACCACACACTGCTTGCAGTCATAGAGAAAGTCTCCGATCCACGCTAGGACACTTCCCCGAATCCCGTCGAACGCCATGGCAAAATCTCGATATATTTTGTCGATATTAGCATCCTGTTCCAGTATTTAGGTCCAAACAACCAGTACCTTGAGTAATTGTGTTAAGCAGGAGCGTCCCGGCATAAAGCCGTGTTGACAGTCATTTACAAGGTTGTTTCGTGGTAGATGTTCCATCATGGTATCTCTTATAATGCTCTCTAGTACTTTACACACTATGCTGGTCAGGCTCACTGATCTATAATTATTCGTGGACTGACGATCGTCCTTACTGAATACAGGATTTACATAAGCTATTTTCCAATCACTAGTGGCCTTTTGCTCATCCAGGCCTTTACAGAACAGGATCTTCAGGGACTCAGCAAGCTCGGTGCACAACTTTGTGGCTTTAGAGGACAATATTTGGTCTTAGGAAACAGGTCTATAGTTCAGAAAGTATACAGACAAGGTAGTTATACAGTTCAATAAGTATACAGACAATACTCAGAATTTCCATGGCGAGGGCATTAGGTCAGTGGCCTGTGTAGGATCCCTCCATTGGTCTTGATAATTTTGTCAATACTATTCTTGATTCTATAGGTCTACCAGCCTGCGTGTGTGTGAACAAAAATATTTCCTTATGTTTATTCTGCATGATAACTTGGCGAGCTTGTAGTTATGTCCCCTCGTATTGGTGGTGTCCAGGGTTCGCGTTTTCCATCACTTTCAGCATTTTTAATGTTTCAGTGAGATCTATAGTGCCTTGTCTGAAGGGTTGTTAGTCCTAAAGCCGTCAGTCTACTTGGATAATCGAGATGATATAGTTTCGGAATCTAGTCGCTCTGTGATACACTTTTTGTATCTTAAAGTAGAAATTATCCTTATTTTGTTTTTAAGTTTAACGAAGGAAAAAGAACCCGCCTCTACTTTTAGACATTCCTGTGGTTTATATAGATAAATTAAAACACTTACTATCACAGTTACTGAAGTTTGAAATTTATAATATACAATAATATAGATTAGTAAGAGCATATACAGTAGTGTGTCGTTAAATTAAAGATATTCTTATTTTCTGTCAAGGCAAAATAAATATAGAGAAAACGATATAAAGTAGAGTAACTAAAGTATTATAAATTACGAGTATATTTAAGCTGTCACCGTGATGAAAAGGACAGAGTTCACTAAGTAAACCATTTACGATTTAACTAAATGCCACGAACAACTTTATAAAAGGTAAATAAAACATAAACCTTTCGATACAGATGAATTAAATACAGCATCAAATTTTCTTGGTCTATGGACACAATCTACTGTATGCGTTCTAGATTTAGATTTTGAAACTTGAAGATAATACCAATTGAGATAATATTTCTACACCTTGGAGGGATATGTAAACATTGGAGCCCTGGGAGGTTTAAAGGTCACTCCCTCCAACCTGTTAACACCTACAGCAAGAGTTAAATTCTGGTTATGTTTAGGTATACATCATGCAAACTTGTACGGTCTATATATATATTGTGTATTGTATTTCCTGTATTGTCTATATACTGTACATGCTTGAGATTGATCTGTTGTTGATATATAAATACTTCCAGTTCTCCTTCCATACTGATGCATTACATTATTCATACGACATTATAATTATGAACCGACCTAACCTAACTCACCCAACCAACCTAACCTAACCGAACTTGCGTACCCAATAAACCTAACCTAACCTAACGATGATGTAATATATCTTATTTAGGTTAAGATAAGTAATTGGTTAGTTCACGTCTCTCTAACTCACCACAACACCAAGAGTTTCCTACTATCAATATTATCAGCTGTCTTGAACCGTAAACAACGAGAATATCGCAACAGAATATTTCGAGGAATTTAAATGTTTTTATATTTCGTGGAAGATAAACAGAATTTGACATTGATATACTATGTAATCAGAGACTTTACTTTGTTGTTGTTTTCTGTCATAAGAGTTTTAAAGACCCACAGTTACTGAATACAGGTTACTGGTCAATATTGTTGCTTTAACCCTTTGAGTACTGACTTAACCCTTTGAGTATGTGTGTCGTTTAGTATTTTGGACGTCGTGTAGTATGTTGGTTGCATCGTTTAGTATGTTTGTATGTTAGATGTTGTGTAGTATGTAAAATGCGTCGTGTAGTATGTTGGAGGCGTCGTGTAGTATGTTGCAGGCGTCGTGTAGTATGTTGCAGGCGTCGTGTAGTATGTTGAAATCGTCGTGTAGTATGTTGGAGGCGTCGTGTAGTATGTTGCAGGCGTCGTGTAGTATGTTGCAGGCGTCGTGTAGTATGTTGCAGGCGTCGTGTAGTATGTTGAAATCGTCGTGTAGTATGTTGGAGGCGTCGTTTAGTATTTTGGAGGCGTCGTGTTTGTGTGCGCCATGAGAATACTACTAGAGTGTCCTTCCTCATTACCCCCTGACCGTAATTGTTATGTAGGCCGTGTGTGACCATCTCGCCCACGTCAGGAACTCACCATTACCCCGGCAGCATTAAGGTCTCGGTGAGGGGAGAGAAATTACGTTCATATTCTATCAAATAATCCACAGGGTTAATTGCCTTTGGTATATAAGCATCTTCTTCAATAAACAATAAGTTTCTGTATCCTGTATATTAAAATAATGCCAGGTTTCACATCCGATTGTAATTTACAGAGTTTAAATGGAACCAGTATGCTAACAACAAGACCACCGCGCTGCCAGACGTTTTGCAGGTTCACAACAATTATCTCAGTTACTTTAATCTTTTACATTGAGGTCACAACACATGCGAATTACAATGTCGGTATAAATTCTTGCCTTGTGCAGACCAATTATGGCTTAGATGTATATATTTTTTTATACAGTGACAGGAAACATAATCCGAGCGAGGAAGATAAGCTACAGAGGCGTTAAGTCCGACAGGTGATGAAACATGCCCATACTACCACACCAAGATACCTAATACTGTAACTCATCAATGATAACAGCTCGATATACTGTAAGTAAAAAAAGGTGTCAAGAAGATCAAGGGGTAACGTTATTATCGTCATTATAACCTGGAGACGATGACCCGGACGAAACTCAACAGACTGGACGATAAACAGTGGTGGAGGGCCCGGGCAAGAGGTGGTGGTGCCGGGGCGAACTGACAGTCTCACTTGGGTGGCTGTCTCTCTCTCACCCACACGGCTGAGCAACAGTTGGTCGGTGGCTGGTGTGGCAGATGGGGGCCTCCTCGTGCTCTCCTCGTGCTCTCCTCTGCGTGTGTGTTTACTCTACGCTGTCTCTGGTACCTCGCTCCGGCTACTCCAATAGTATAAAGGTAAGTTAAAGCTTGCTTGTGGAGTCCAGTACTCCTTGATACTTGATGAAGGGGAGTAGAGTTGAAGTTAGTAATGTGGAATAAGTTATTGTTTAGTGTGTAGTGGTGGGTGGCGGCAGATGACCCAGGCCTCTTAAGACTTGCACCTGACCACATGGTATGACTGGGGCACTCAACCGTGAGACCGTGGCGTCGAATGGTCATCAAGTAGTCAGTGTCACGTTACCAGTACAATAGAACCCATTAAAAAAACATTGCCTCATAGTAACGAAGATTAGAAACAAGTGTAAACAGAACACTCGCACGGCGATGAGGGGGTAAACGATAGAAGTGTTACGCAGTGTTCAATAGAGAGTTATGAACACTTACGGGGTAAAAGCGTGTCACGGTGCTGGTCGGTGCTGGAAAAGAACACCTACCTGTCAAACATTCCCACAGGTGTTCTACTTACGATACTTGTACTACTCACTGCACTGTTCACTACTTCAAGAGGAATAATACTTTCGATTTTCTGTGGGATTTGTGTTGGTGTAATAATAATAATAATGAATAATAATTAACGGTTTATTGAAAGAGCTTGGCAGCCAGAAGGCTGAAAATATACAGTTACATATTTGGGGAATGGGTTTCGAATTACAAATAATATACAAGTCACATAAGTGATACAAATAAGATATATAATAACTAGATGGGGAAAAGCTCAAACTACAGTTCATTTCAACATAGTGACAGTGCAAGGAGTAGTGTTTACTGGGAGTGAATACACTGGTTTATTATGTTATTGATAATTTTACAATGTTGGGACTGGGCTGTGTGTGTGTGTGTGTGTGTGTGTGTGTGTGTGTGTGTGTGTGTGTGTGCGTGCGTGTGTGTGTGTGTGTGTGTGGGTGTTGGTGTGTGGGTATTTGAGTGTGTGTAGGTGTTGGTGTGTGGGTATTTGTGTGTGTGTGGGTGGTGGGTGTCGGCCCGGCACGTCGGATCAGCTGACCAGAGTGGCTTCCGCGAACTCCAGGTTTTCCTCAAGTTGTCTACAAACGATTGTATTTAGTGTTATGTGGTAAGAGGAAAATTTTATGCGGCTAACTTGAAGATTAGGCACCCCAGCTTACTTCAGCTTAAGATTAACCACCCTAATACTAACCTAACCCAGCCCTAACCTAACCTAACCTAACCTAACCCAGCCCTAACCTAACTTCGACCTAATCTAACCCCCAGGTAACGTTAGAGTATTTAATCATCAGGTAAAATATACTGAGGGTGCCTAATATTCTCACCTAGGTCTATAGATTCGCATTATACAAGTTTACAAGTCAAATAACAACACAAATTTCTCAGCCACCAGTAAAAAAAAATGACCTCTTCAATATATTAAGTTTAAAAGGACGAAAAATCTACATGGCACTGAATTTAATTAGTGGTAAGTGGAAGTTTGGTATAAGACAACACGGCAGAACAGACAGACGGTGGCCAGCACTTACCTACCTCACACCTCAGAATAGTCTACCACAACACGTGTTCCCTCCACCACCTACACTGTCTGGCGCTCGCTGCTACTACCAACATCAGCACTACTACTATTGTTGCTAACTTCTCTATCTTTCATCTCCTTTCCTTTAAATCTCGTTTCTTCATCTTCCCTTTTCTTTTTCCTCTCATCCCCACTTCCTCTCTTCCTTCCCTTCCCTTTCCTTCCTCTCATCCTCTTCCCTCTCCCGTCTTTCCTTCCCAATTTGTATCACCTTAAGATTAACCACCCCGACGCTAATCTAACCTAACCTAACATAACATAACCTAACGCTAACCTAATCTAATCAAGCCTAACCTAACCTAATCTAACATAACATAACATAACCTAACCCCTCCCAGGTAGTGTTAGAGAGTTTAATTATCAGGTGAATTACTGTAAGATGGGGGGGGGCTAATCTACAGGTGATCAGCTAGAGGGAGTCTCCAGGTAGGGCCAAATTGGGCGGGTGACACGGGAGTGGTGGGTGTGGGGACAGGGAGTGGTGTAGGCGGGGGAGTGGTAAGGGATAGGGGAATGGTGGGGCAGTGTGGGAGGGTGGCAGTGGGAGTGGTGGTGGCAGGCGTGGTGGGAGTGGTGGTGGCAGGTGTGGGAGTGGTGGTAGGCGTGGGGAGTGGTGGCAGGCGTGTGTGGAGGGTGGTGGCAGGCGTGGGAATGATGATGGCAGGCGTGGGAATGTGTGATGGGGCGGCGTGTCCAGGGATGATGGGCGCCGATAGGAACAAATGTGGAGGGGTTAAAGGTCATGATGGCGAACAAGATCTATATCGTAAGTGGAGAAGCAATCAGGTATGGAATGAGAGAAAGACACACACACACACGCACACACACACACACACACACACACACACACACACACACACACACACACACACACACACACACACACACATCCCACGTGAGGTTCAGACAAGGAGGAGGAGAGGGGGTGAGGATTACGCCACTTCGTCATGTTGTGGACATTTCCTGTATTGTGTACCTGAGCCGGGCGGGGTGCTGGCTGACCCCCCTCACCTACACCAGGAGCTGCACGACACACACACACACACACACACTAGTTCAGGTGTTTAGCATCATTAGGTCACCCCTCCTCACCCCTCACCTAGAGTCGTTCACATCTTCCTCACATCATTAGTCTCTATGAACTATAACCATTCCTATCCTTTAATCCATCTCTCAACCTTTACCATTATCCATAAACCAAGGGTAAATATTGATGGATTCATAAAAGCAAAACTTTAACACAATAAAGAATTTTTTGATCAAAGTGTAGAGGGGGAGGAGGCTTTAACCCCCTATATGTACACGTGTTTCGTTTCCTTTAAAGTGTGAGTGAAGTAAATTTGATGGACAGAGAGAGAGAGAGAGAGAGATAGAGAAAATATCACCGAATGGACCTTTTCACATAACCTGCAACCATTCAAGAATTACCACCTTCTTATAATGCTCTCTGAAGATCTTACTGTACACACACACACACACCGTAACAACATTCTTACTCCAGCATTTTAAACTACTTTCAACATTCTAATTAAAACTTTCACCAAAATACAATCTACTTTCTTAAAATACTATATGTGATTTAGAAAGTTTGTGCAGGTAATAAAAATTTAAAGGATTTTCTTTTAAATACATTTTATCTCTGGAGTTTGAGAACAGGATGGGACTATTACCCTGCAGAACGCCTTTGTTTCGCCCCTTGGATGTTGGTTGGGCAGTATTAACACACACACTTAGCCTACCACAAACAACTCCCAATCATCACCAACTAGCTTCACCTTTTGTATTCTATCTCAGGTGACTAAAAAAATCCCCCTCGACACACCTTTGGCGTCCATTGACAAAATATTACCTCATTTACACGATAATAAGTCTACTCAGGGTTAAAGGAAAACAAAAAAACAGCGTCTGACTGTCTTTTGTTTGTGGGTGTGACGGTGGTAAACAGATGTTGTATGAGGAGGCAGCGTACGGGAGGAAATTTAGACAGTGTGAGGGGATAAGAGTGAGTAGTATGAGGGAGAGAGAGTGTAAGGGAATAGGAATAAGCAGTATAAGGTAAAAATAAGGAGACAAAATAAACTGAATGTATAAAGACGGGAATGACCAATATAAAAAAAACCCACAAAATTACACAACCACAACTTGTAAACCAAAACCTTTAACTATTTCTAGCTTTTACTATTCCAAGTGCAGTCAAACACACTCGAGACGATATTATCAACAGCGAAAAACTCTCCCCTCCAAGTCCTCTTTTGTTTTCCACTACACGTTTTGGAAACACTGGACAGCGAACGTGATCCACTATAATCAACAAGACTTTCATAACAACTTCAATGAATCAATATTTCTGGTGAGGTTCGGGAAAGGTTGGAGTGTGGGAGGGTTAAGGAGGGGGGTTACATGAAGATTAACCCCCCTTTCCAGTTTATTTTACCTAAAGATTAAAATGCCGTAATCCTAACTTAAACTAACCTAACCTTACCTAACCTAATCTAATCTAGAATGCGAGGTAGAGTAATGAGGGGTAGAGAGTAGAGTGAGAGGTAGAGAGTAGAGTGAGAGGTAGAGAGTAGAGTGAGGGGTAGAGAGTAGAGTGAGAGGTAGGAGTAGAGAGAGGGGTAGAGAGTAGAGTGAGAGGTACTAGAGTGAGAGGTAGAGAGTAGAGTGAGAGGTACTAGAGTGAGAGGTAGAGAACAGAGTGAGAGGTACTAGAGTGAGAGGTAGAGAACGAGGGTAAGCTGAGAGGTACAGTAGAGTGTTTGGTTACATGGATGTCTAAACCCATACCTCGTGACGTCACACAGAATGACGTATTACAGAACAGGTCGTGTCTCTGTGTGTGTGTGTGTGTGCGTTTATACTGTCTCCTTTGCCCGTCTATCTGTACGTTTGTATGTGTGTGTGTGTGTGTGTGTGTATTTGTTCTACATGTCTGTATGTCTTGCCTATCTGTGTATGTGTTCGTCTGGCTGTGTCTGTATGTCTGTCTGTATTTCTGGTCTGTCCGTGTGATCGTCCGTCTACCCGTCAGTTCCCAGGGCTCCACCTTTATGAGTTCAAGCTCAGTTTTAATTAAGTTTCTGGTTTATTTTGTTTTTTCGTTAACGTGTAGATATGCGGATCACCTGAAGATTAGACACCCCTAGCTTATTTTACCTGATGATTAAATACCGGGTTAGGTTAGGTTAGGGTGGGTTAGGTTAGGTTAGGTTGGGTTAGGTTAGGTTAGGGTGGTTAATCTTGAGGTTAAAATAAGTTGCGATAGTTAATCTTAAGGTGATTCTAAATGTTAATTGTGAATCCGTGGTTTACACACACACGCGCACACACACACACACACACGCACGCACACACACACATACACACACACACACGCACACACACATACACACACACACACACACACACACACACGCACACACACACACATACACACACACACACACACATACACACACACACACACACACGC